AACCTTACTTTCTTTAATTCTGCTGTTGCTCTATTTTGAATTGTTTGTTTTTCTTGATTCAAAAAGTGATCATAAATCAAAATATTTGAAATAAGATAATTTGCATCAAGAAAGTGCGAAAATCTTTCAAAGATCAATTCACCCCCCCCCCCTCTTGATCTTAGCCTTTTTTTCTAACAAAATCTGTCTCTTCCAAATCAACCTCTCAAACCTCAAAATCAACTTGGCATGCAAAGAAGAACCAAGATTTTAATCCATAAAGTATCAAGCAACTTATATCCAAGAGTGAAGAAAATTCCCAAAACCTAAAGAAAACCCAGAAATTCAAGAGAAGCATGCAAACTGTACACAAATCTAAAAAAACTAAAAATCCTAAACAAAGAACAGTCTCCCCCACACTTAAATTAGACTTTGTCCTCAATGTAAATACAATCATATCCACTAAACAAATAGGACAAGCAAGATAAAAGAGTTGAAGGAGAAAGAAGAACTCCCTGATCATGGTGGAAGAGAAGTGGGATCAGTCAGGGACATCTCATCCACAACGACATCCACTAGAGAAGGATTGCTGAGGAATTGTTTCAGTCGATGCCCATTTACTTTGAAGCTCTTTTCTGTGGATTCACTTTTGATTTCAACTATACCGTAAGGATAAATATTAGTAACAACAAAAGGTCCATTCCACTTTGATCATAACTTACCACCCATGAGTCCAAGCCTAGAATTATACAATAACACTTTTTGGCCAACCATGAAGTCCTTCCTAGCTATCAAGCTATCGTGGAACTTCTTGGTTTTCTCTTTGTATAACTTTGAGTTCTCATAGGCTTCCAGTCGAATGTCATCTACCTCATTAAGTTGCAACTTCCTTTCCTCCCCAGCTTGGTCAAGTGAGAAATTGCAAGTCTTCACAACCCAATAGGCCCGATGCTCTATTTCCACAGGTAAGTGACATGCCTTTCTAAAGAAGACCTGATAAGGTGACATTCCTATAGGTGCCTTGTAGGCAGTCCCAATGCGCCAAAAGAGCATCCTCTAGTCTGTTACTCCAATTCTTTCTGTTCGGCTGGACAATCTTCTCTAAAATCCTCTTGATCTCCCTGTTTGAGATTTCAGCCTACCCATTAGTTTGGGGGTGGTAAGGTGTAGAAACTCTGTGAACAACCCTATACTTTTTTAGCAACACCTGCATAGACCTGTTACATAATTGGGTGCCTTGATCACTAATAATGGCTCTGGGTACTCCAAACCTGCAAAAGATGTTAGATCTAACAAAATCCACAACAACCTGAGCATCATTAGTCCTGGTGGCTTTGGCTTCCACCCATTTTGAAACATAGTCAATTGCAAGGATAATATAATAAAAACCAAAAGAAACAGGGAAAGGACCCATGAAATCAATACCCCCATACATCAAACACCTCACAAAATAACATGGGTTGCTGGGGCATCTTCTATGTCCATGTAAGGGATCCTCCTACTCTCTGACATTTCTCACAAGTGCTACAAATCCTCCATGCATCCTTGAAGATGGTGAGCCAGTAGAAACCAATGTCAAGCACCTTACGAGTTGTCCTCTAAATGCAAAGATGACCACCGGTTGTAGAAGAATGACAAAATTTCAAGACCAAGTCGAACTCCTGATTTGGTATGCATCTCCTAATTACCTAGTCACTGCACAACTTCCACAGATAGGGATCATTCCATATATAATACTTAGCATCGCTCTTAAGTTTATCATTTTGCGCTCTAGATGACATGGGAGGAAAAACAGAAGCAACTAAATAATTTACATTGTTTGCGAACCAAGGGGTGGGGAAAAAGTTGGATATAACAAATAAATTTTCATTGGGAAAGTCATCCCGGATGGGCAAAACATCACCATGAGCCTCATCACAAAAGAAGAGATTATCCCCGGGCTAGCCCGACCCCCGTGCATTTTACGGCACATATTCCCTTATTAATTAATAAAGAATATACTTCTTACTATCTCGCTTCTCTTCTTGCTATTTCATGACTAGACCTTGCAATAACCTTGTCTAAGTAAACGAAAAAAGGAGAAGAATAAAAAGCGCATCCAAGTAAACAAAATTTTCCATTGCCATTACAATGAAGCTAGTTGATTAGAAGCACAAAATAAGGCTTTACCTCACCATAAATAAAGTCATGTTTCGCCAATATTGTGAAAAAAAAAATAATAATAACAAAAAAAAAAGAAAAAGTCCATAGAAGCCAAAGGCAAAAAAAAGAAGGGGAAAAATACCCGGTAGGAAACCCACTAAGGGGGCTACGCAAAAGATAGGGTCAACCCGGTAGGACACCCGACAAAAATAAAGGGTAGCCTAGGCAAAAGTTAGGGTTACAAAATAAGGTCCGTTAGGATTCCATAAACAAAAAACAAAAAGGAACCTAAACAAAAGATAGGACCAAAACACAATATCCTAGTTCGAAAACCCGAAGGGCGATCTAGGGAAATCAACCAGCCATAAAAAGTAATGGAAATAAGCTAAGGCACAAATACAAAAAGGGAAATGTTTGCTTAGACAAAATGCTTAAACACCTAGGCCTAACCTTAGCCAACCATTCTTACAAAATCCTTTTTCTAAATAAAATTGACCGTCTAAAATACAAGCTATTGAATTTGCCATTTTACTTCTTTTCTCTTAACCCTCACAACATTATTCTAACAATTAATTTGGGAATATGGAGGCGTATAGTCAACAAGAGGATTGAAACCCCTAAAGTGAAGAAAAAGGGGCACTAACATGGAAAAGTGAGCTCTACAAAAAAAAGGAAAAGAAAAAACAAAGAATAAGAAAGAAAGAAAAAACAAATTATTCTTCAGTCACAAGAAGTCCGGAATGGTACAGCCAAATACAACAGAAGGAACGCAGATCAGAGGACACTCGTCTCTATAAGACATGACAGTTAAATCCTTATGAAAAACTAAATGAAATAGGCATCATAGGACATCAAACATGAAAACATTGCATGCATAAAATTTTTTTGAACAAGGTCCTATTTTCTTCCAAAAAAAAAGCCTCTAAAAAAACGAGACCGCCGTCTCGTAGGTCCATACCGCCGTCTCAATTTTCAGCAAAACGAGACCGCCGTCTCGACTTGACCAAAAACGAGACCGCCTTCTTGCTTGGCGAGATGGCCGTCTCGCTTAAGGCCAAAGTCGAGACCGCCATCTCGAGCTTCCAGACGTCGGTCCCGAATTCCGCAAATTCGAGACGGCGGTCCCAAATCTCCAGACAGCGGTCCCGAGGTTGGTCGAAAAATCTATAAATAGAGGGGCCTAGGGTGGGTCTCAAACACCCTCTCTTGCACTCCTACCCTCCTTTCTCTCACTTTCAAGCATCCTACCATCAAAATGCATCGAGGAGATCAATCCAGAAAGAGAAGGGGTTCTGCTGGCCCCAGCAGCTCCACAACCCCCGCTCCTCAGGATCCCACACAACTTTCACCACTACACCAGGCCCGCCTAGAGCACATCCGGAGTTACACCTGGCACCCCATGCTGAGACTGGATTTCGACATCCTCGCCAAATTCAGGTGGGAAGATGACGTCCGCGCCCACATCGACAGCATAGGGTGGCGCTTCCTCCTCCAGTCTCCACCTACCCACGTCTACCCTCAGGCAGTGTTAGAGTTTCTCGCCTCCATCTCCTACTCTGAGACCCCTTCCATGGTGTCGGGTCTCCCACCGACAAAAATGGTGACGTGCTTCATAGGTGGGATGTACCAACCACCATGTAGACCCCAAATCTTGCCCGGCCTCCAAATAAAGTCAGAAAGGGTCCTATTTGAAGACGGCCGAAGCCTAACAAGCCACTAGGAGAGACTATTAGGCTCCCGTACCAAGATAGGAAGGTTTTTTGGCCCGAAAATAAAGTTTCTCGCCCTGAAGGGATGAGACCGCCGTCTGGAAGGACCAGACCGCCGTCTCGTCTCAACGCCAGGACGAGACCGCCGTCTCGACTTTCCAGACGGCGGTCTCGATTTCTGCAAAAGCCGAGACGACGGTCTGGATTTTCCAGACGGCGGTCTCGATTCCCGCCTAGTCGAGACGGCGGTCTCGATTTCTGTAAAAGTCGAGACGGCGGTCTGGAATTTCCAGACGGCGGTCTCGACCCCTGTCAGAGGAAATGGCGGTCTCGACTTGTCAGGCGCGAAAAACTATATATAGGGGCTCTCTCCCCCTCATTTGGACACACACCAACAGTAGCTCTCCCTTCTCTCTAGAATTTCTCTCTCTAAGAATCCCTCCGAGGCATTTCCGGAGTTTCTGAGCGTCTTTAGGCATAAACTGAGCGTTCTAAATCTTCTTAAGAATCCCTCCGAGGCATTTCCGGAGTTTCTGAGCGTTGTAGAGTGAAGGGTAGCCAAAACGCACCCTCTCTTTTAAAGAGAATATATAAAGCTTGCTTTGGAGGTGCACATTTTCTCCTTCTAATTTTACCGCTTTTACTTTAAATCTATGCAATAGATACTAGGGCCATGTAGTCATAATTTAAATACCGCATAATAAAAGGGTAAAAGCGCTATTTTCCAGTTTAATTATTTATTCAAATTAGCCGGCCTATCATAGGGAACCCGAAAGGGGCGTCGTAAAGGAACTAATACTTCCTTTACACGTAACTAACTCCCTTACCCAACTCTGGTTCTAATGACCAAGGTTGGTTTTCGAAAACCAACGCCTTTTTAAAACCCCTTTTCCGATGTTTATGGTAAAAATATCGGTGGCGACTCCATAGAACCCAAAATAAACAAATCCCTGGGTTAGCCCGGTTATCAAACAACCCAGGGATGCTTTCGAAAACCTCGCCCCTAGGTTAGCCCGGTCATCGAACAACCTAAAGGCGTTGTAACTGTAGACCCCTAATTTTGCCCGACCTCTCAAAATAAAAGCTAGAGGAACTTCACCCGAAGATGGAGTTCATCCGGTCTCCCAAAACGAGAAGGACCTCCCACAACAAAAGACGGAGTTCACTCATTCACACAATAAAAGCCAAAAGAGACTTCCTACACAAAGACAGAGCTCGCCGGCATCTTAATGAAGGCCAAGAAGACTTCCTATACGAAGATAAAGCTTCAACGAGACACATATCGGCATCCACCGACGTCCAAAACGAGCAAGGAAAGCTTCCCGGAGTCCCAAAACGCGCGAACCGGCGGAACAAGTCGAGACGGCCGTACCGGTTGGGACGACCGTCCCAACCTGCTCCAACCAGTTGGGACGCGCGTCCCGAAGTTGGGACGGCCGTCCCAAGCTCCAGTTCAAGTGGGACGGCCGTCCCGGGTTCCCAGGGGGTCCCAGCCTGTGTAATTTTGCCATTTGGGACGGCTGTCCCAGTCCAGATGGCCGTCCCATCCAGACGGCCGTCCCAAAGTGCGCCAGCTGCGAAAAACTATAAATAGGAGGCTCATTTGCCACTTTTTCACACCCGAGACACTCCAGAGAGCTCGAAACACTTTCTAAAACTCGAGCACTTGTCTATTTCTTTCTTTCTCTTGAATGATCTTTCCGATTGCCTTAAATAGGTAACAATCGGTTAAGGAATTATATTCCGGCATTCGATTCTTCTTTAAATTTTTAGTGGGGTCGATCTTGTATTGGTGAGGAGAGTCTCGTGTAGAGAGAGGGGTTGCCAAAACGCATCCTCACGGTTCGAGACTCTCAATATCAAGCTTGCTACGGAGGTTCTTTTCAATTCTCTTCTCTTTTATTGCTTTATTTATTGTTTTATTTAGCTTTATTTATGCCATGTAGAATAAAATCATGTAGATAGCTATTTTGTCTCTTTTATTGTTTTATTTAGCTTTATTCATCATTTTATGCATGCAATATAGAATAAAATCATGTAGATAGCCATTTAATATTATAGGGTAATCGCGTAATTTCTCGTAGTCTTTACTTAAATGAATTAATCTGTCATAGGGAACCCGAAAGGGGCGTTGTGGGGTGCTAACACCTTCCCCACACGTAACTAACTCCCTTACCCAACTCTGGTTATAATGGCCAAGTGCGGTTTTTCTTAAAATCAACATTTTTTCCTTTTCCAATGTTTAAGGTCAAAACATTGGTGGCGACTCCATAAGAACCTCTTTTCGAAAACCTTTTAAAACAAAAACGCGAGTCTAAACCATCTTTTCGCGACCGCTCGCATAAACGTTTCGAGACGTCCTCCGGACGTCGAAAGGGACGGTGGCGACAGATGGCGACTCCACTGGGGAAGCTAGAGAGTTGATCCCATTTAGTGACAGATAAATTCAAACTAAGTAAAGATTTGAAATTACGCCTTTACCCTTCTATATATTTTTATTGTATGGCTTTAATAACTGCTGTATGATTATTTTCTGCAAATTGTTTGAAATATAAATTGCACACAAAACCCTTGCACACAACAGTCCCTCTATACCCGGGGGCAAGAGTGAATACCTATAGGGAGTGGGTGGCAGATACGATCGGTTAGTTGGCACACGGGGCTACTGCCGTTGTCGGAAAACCACCAACTCAAGGTGATAACTCTCTTCTTTTGGTCTAAGGGTGTCGCCACGGAGTTCCGTGCATGACCCGAGGATCGATGGATTGAGAGGTCCCTATAATGGGGGCACCTTGGGGACCTTTGGCCTGGTGAGAACAGTTAGAACCACCTAAACCAAGCACGTTTCTGCAGGAAAACCCTACCTCGTGATTAAATAAGCGTGGCTCTGCTCGTGGATGTACGAATTGTGTGTGCATACGTTTGCTGCATTTGTATTGATGCATTAGCATAGGGTAATCATACAACATAAAAAAAAAAGTGAAAAACCCTAAAAATCATAAAAAATATAAAAACCAGTTAAAACCATAAAAATACCTTTTTACAAAATTCTTGGCAAAGTCGTATCATTCATACCGCATCATCCAATAAGTGGTAAAACCAAGAGAGAAAACCAATGCATTAAGAAAAGTATGCATAAACATCATCATAAATAAAATCTCTCATACATAAACACATTCATCCTAGGGCATATTTATTCCACGCTAATCATTTAAAATAAAAAGTTATAATAAGAATCATTAAAATCATTTAGAAGGTGGCTGGTCTTCCGCCCGTCCTCACTCGTGCTCAAAAGGCTAAGAAGATGGAACAACTAGAAGAACAAAACCGAAAGCTCACCGCTGAGCTTACTACACTGAAAGAGCAAATGGCTCAAATGTTAGAAATGATACATCAACAGAATCTCCATCAAGAGGGTCCTCAGAATGGACAAGCCTCTCACCACGAAGAAGAAGAGGAACCTCAGAATGAGCATGATCAATCCGGTACAAGAGCAGTACATATTCATGCTCCTGAAGTATCAAAACAACAAATCACTCGCTCTTGAAGAGAGGTCGAGAGCCATGGAAGGACACAATTTTGATATAAAAGAGGCGGCTGATATGTGTCTCGTTAAAAACATCCAATTCCCTAATAAGTTCAAAACTCCGGACTTCCAGAAATACTTAGGAATAACCTGCCCCAAAAGCCATCTTACAATGTACTGTCGTAAGATGGCTGCATATGCTTGATAATGAGAAACTCCTGATCCATTGCTTTCAAGAGAGTTTAGCTGAATCGGCCTTAAACTGGTATATGCAACTAGAAGGGAGCCAAATCCAAACCTGGAGACACCTGGCAGATGCCTTTCCTCGTCGATATAAATACAATATTGATCTGACCCCTGAAAGAGCAGATTTACAACTATTAAGCAAGAAAGATGGTGAATCCTTCAAAGCATATGCCCAAAGATGGAGGGAATTGGCAGCACAAGTGGAACCTCCTTTATCTGACAAAGAGACTACATCCATGTTCATCAATTCTTTGACGAGTCCTTATTATGACAAAATGATAGGGAACACATCGACACTCTTCGCGAGATGTAGTCATTATAGGAGAAAGAGTAGAGCAAGGTCCGAAGAACGGAAGGATTGCACAGCGAGAACTCCTCCAACTCCTCTACTCCATTCATTAAAAGAACCTCGGGAAAAAGAAAGAAGGAACCGTAAATGCAATCAACTTGGCCATTCCTTTTTCCTCCTCTCGGCAAACTAAGTCACGTAGACCGAAAGGAAGTTCACCCCAATACCCACTTCTTATGCAAGCTTGCTTGTTAAAATTACTAGACGCCAAGCTCCTCGTACGCATCCCTCCCAAGAAGATGGAGCCACCATATCCAGAATGGTATAAGCTTAATGAAAAATGCAACTATCATTCGGACGCTCCAGGACATTCTACAGATAACTGCATAACCTTGAAGCATAAGGTCCAAGATTTAATAGATGCGGGATGGATTACCTTTGACGCATCTACTCCAAAGGTGGACGACCAGCCCTTATCAAAGCCCGAGTAAAAGACGGGATAAGGGAGACCAGCAGATTAGGGCTCATCATTTTTACTTTTTTGCAATAAACATAAAGAAATAATAAAAGCTTCCGATGTATTTCTCGTGATCCTTGTCCATGATCATGAGATTTTTGGTTAAATTGGGCTTTGTAAATATTTTCTTCTATCAATACAATGAGGCATTTTTTTTAATATCCATATTCTCTCTCATTCTTTTCTCTCTCATACATTTAATAAAAGAATCTAAAACAAAGCATAACCCATACAGATCATGTACGTGATTGAAAACTCCTTGGAAGATCTGAAAGGCGAAGACGAATGGATTGAGTCGAGACAGTGAGGAGGGGACCATTTCCCGGATATGCAAAGACTGTTAGAAAAAGAAGCTCAATCAATACAGCCCCATCGGGAGAAAAGCTGAGGCTATCAATTTGGGATCGAGAAGATGATAAGAAAGAAGTAAACATCGGTACCCAAATTAATAATGATGTCGGGGAAAAGTTAATACAATTACTAAGAGAATATATGGATGTGTTTGCTTGGTCCTACCATGATATGCCTGGGATTGACAAGAGCATAGTAGAGCATCGGTTACCAATAAAAGAGGGATTTCGGCCGTTAAGCAAAAACTCGGAAGAGTAAAACCAGAATGGTCCTTAAAAATTAAAGAAGAAGTAGAAAAACAATTGGACGCCAATTTTCTAATTGTATCAAAATACCTCGAATGGTTGGCCAACATTGTGCCAGTCATAAAGAAAAATGGAAAAATCGAGTATGCGTAGATTACGGGGATTTAAACCGTGCAAGTCCGAAAGATGATTTTCCCTTACCACATATCGATATGCTTGATAGATCATACCGCTACAAATACTCTCTATTCTTTCATGGATGGATATGCGGGGTATAACCAGATTAAATTGGCTGTCGAAGATAGAGAAAAAACTTCCTTCATTACACCATGGGGTACATTCTGCTATAGAGTAATGCCTTTTGGACTCAAGAACGCAGGGGCCACTTACCAAAGGGCTATGGTCACGCTATTTCATGATATGATTCACAAAGAAATCGAAGTATATGTGGATGATATGATCACCAAGTCCAAAAACGAAATAGATCACCTCCAATACTTAAAGAAGTTATTCAGTCGACTTCGAAAATACCAGATTAAGCTTAACCCGGCTAAATGCACATTCGGAGTACGATCAGGAAAACTCCTGGGGTTTATTGTTAGTAAAAGAGGAATTGAGGTGGACCCTGATAAAACAAAGGCAATCATAGAAATGCCCCCACCAAGGACAGAAAAAGAAATCAGAGGGTTCTTGGGCCGAATAAACTACATTGCACGGTTCATCGTGCAATTAACAGACAAGTGCACACCTATCTTCAAGTTATTGCGAAAAAACCAACCGAAAGTTTGGAACGATGAATGTCAACAAGCTTTCGAAAAAATCAAAATGTGCCTAACCAATCCCCCGATATTGGTACCACCTGTGGAAGGAAAGCCCCTGATTCTTTACCTTTCAGTACTCGACGAATCCATGGGATGTGTACTCGGTCAACAAGATGATACGGGTAAAAAAGAACAAGCCATATATTACCTCAGTAAAAAATTTCTAAACTATGAGACTCGTTATACACCACTCGAAAAAACATGTTGTGCATTGGTGTGGGCAACTCAACGTCTTCGACAATATATGGTCAGACATACAACTTGGTTGATTTCCAAAATGGACCCAATCAAATATCTGTTTGAAAAACCCGTTTTGACCGGAAGGATAGCCAGATGGCAAGTACTCTTATCAGAATTTGACATCGTTCATGTTACTCAAAAAGCTATCAAAGGAAGCCCTTTAGCAGATTATCTGGCACATGGACCAATAGACGAATATCAATCCCTACAAGATGATTTTCCAGATGAGCACATAATGCACATCCAACATGAAGAACTAGAGAATAATGAGTGGATCATGTTCTTCGATGGAGCTTCAAATTTACTAGGACACGGTATCGGAGCTATTTTAATATCTCCCGAAAAGAAGTATATACCAGTAACAGCCAGATTAAACTTTGATTGCACAAACAATATGGCGGAATACGAAGCTTGCGCTCTAGGTATTCAAGCAGCTTTAGATCATGGGGTAACTAGACTCAAAGTATTCGGTGACTCTTCCCTTGTTATTTACCAACTCAAGGGTGAATGGGAAACTAAAAATTCCAAGTTAATCCCTTATCTGGAACACATTCGTAACATGACTTCAAAAATGGAAAACATCAGCTTCGAGTATGTCCCTCGGGAAGACAACCAAATTGCAGACGCACTGGCAACATTATCATCCATGTTCACATTAGAACAAGAACATGAGATGCCTGTCATCCAAGTCAAAAGGTACAATAAATAGGCCTTTTGTATGACGATAGACAGTGAAAAAGGTGAAACCCCTTGGTATCATGACATAAGGCAATACTTAACAAAGGGTGAATACCCCGAGGGAATCAGTGATAATGATAAAAGGATTATTCGGAAAAGGGCCGTAGGGTTTATGTTGATAGGAGAAACCCTTTATAAAAAGAACTTTGACTCCACTTTGCTAAGATGCGTCAATCTCAAAGAATCTCAGAAACTGATTAGGGAAATACATGAAGGAGCTTTCGGGATGCACGCTCCAGGGCATATCATGGCTAGGAAAATCCTCAGGGCAGGATATTTTTGGTCCACAATGGAAAAGGACTGTCATCAGTATGCCAAAAAATGTCACAAATGTCAAGTACATGCGGACAACGTGCATGTTCCACCGGTA